ATATCTGTATCGGGATATTTAGTGATAGTTGCAGTGATGGCATTTCGAAATCTTTTATTAATTAGAATAAAGTCGATCTGGTTCCTAATGATATTGTCAGTATTATTGAGATTTCCAAATATACAAGTCTCTTGGTGATGGCTTATAAAAGAAATTAGCAATAACGAACTGTTCTTCTCTGCAGAATTGTATCCATCGGTTCTATTTTTCATTTCTTAAACCAAGACCAAACCATCCCTCTAAATCGTCCTCGGATCCTATTGCAATGATTAGGAAAGTTTTAATTCATGTATTTTAAATTCTGTTATGTATAAAATTTTATTTTATGCATTTTAAATTCTATTTGATTCAGAAAGCAGTAACTTTTACGCGAACCTGTGTAAGGTTTTAATTCTACGTCTTCCACTTATATATTCGAACGTTAGTTTATCATAAACACTTAAAGTCCGAACAGAGAAACGCATTATGAATGTTTATTTGTACAAGCCTCAATTGCACTGAATTTGTGACCTTTTAAAACCATTTTTTCTATAAGAATTGCATCTAACAGATAAGTATAAGCACAATAAGCGTATATTTACAAATTACCACATACTGTGGCATGTTACTTTGAGCTCAACCAATCCCTTGCTAGATCGAATTCGTCATGAAATGTCTCTGTCTGCATTATGAAATTTTTCCATCTCAAATCGTTTACCTTGTTTTTTTTACAATGGATTTCTTCAGTTTAAATGGACATTGCAGTCGAATGAGTTGTCAGAGGAAATATCTGTATCGGGATATTTAGTGATAGTTGCAGTGATGGCATTTCGAAATCTTTTATTAATTAGAATAAAGTCGATCTGGTTCCTAATGATATTGTCAGTATTATTGAGATTTCCAAATATACAAGTCTCTTGGTGATGGCTTATAAAAGAAATTAGCAATAACGAACTGTTCTTCTCTACAGAATTGTATCCATCGGTTCTATTTTTCATTTCTTAAACCAAGACCAAACCATCCCTCTAAATCGTCCTCGGATCCTATTGCAATGATTAGGAAAGTTTTAATTCATGTATTTTAAATTCTGTTATGTATAAAATTTTATTTTATGCATTTTAAATTCTATTTGATTCAGAAAGCAGTAACTTTTACGCGAACCTGTGTAAGGTTTTAATTCTACGTCTTCCACTTATATATTCGAACGTTAGTTTATCATAAACACTTAAAGTCCGAACAGAGAAACGCATTATGAATGTTTATTTGTACAAGCCTCAATTGCACTGAATTTGTGACCTTTTAAAACCATTTTTTCTATAAGAATTGCATCTAACAGATAAGTATAAGCACAATAAGCGTATATTTACAAATTACCACATACTGTGGCATGTTACTTTGAGCTCAACCAATCCCTTGCTAGATCGAATTCGTCATGAGAGCGGGGAGTTTTGTTTTTGTTTTTTTACCGGTAAAAATCATACATGTGTGAGAATTGAAATTATTACCGGTCCAGCTTCTGAACAAGCTGGTAGTCTGGCGTTCTTTCGCCAGTTCTACGCCTGAAGGCTACTTTGAGTCCTAGTATCAACTAGTTGCAGTTTAGTCCATTACAAATTAAGTAAAAATGAAGATATACCAACAATTTGTAGTTTAGTCCATTACAAATTTAGTAAAAATGAAGTGAAAATATAAGTTTTTTTATTGCTGAGACACCTGCCATGGTTTAGTTAATATTTAAAAACAGTCTTTGTCAGTTAAAGTCTACAGTGCAACCAAGTATAGTGAAACAAAGAAATTCACAGTAAGTTTTTACTTTTATCTTATTATTTTTTATTTTTCTGCTACATGTATCCAATGTAATGCAGTGTTAGTGATTTTTGAAGGGGTTCATTCCGTAATTTTTTTATATTTTGATCACTATTTTTTTTGTATGTAGATTGTAAGAACCATACATGTACTACTAAAAATATACTAATTGCTATTTAACTGGGAATAAGCCACAAATTAAAGATTCATAATTATATTATTAATAATTATCCTTAAAAGGATATGCAATAAATTCAACATTTCAACAACATTCAAAACAACAAACACGTTGAGATCTATTTTGTCCAAAACCAAACTTAAGGATGAACAAGACAGGACAAAGAATTACATTTATAAAATACCTTGTGAATGCGATCAGTTTTATTTAGGTGAAACATCAAGGCCATTAAATGTTAGAATAAGTGAACATCAATCTTATAATAAAAATAGAGAATTTGATAGATCTCAAATATGTAAACACGCATGGGATAATGAACATAGGGTTCAATGGAATAATTCAAATGTAGTCCTAAAAGAGACGGATGGTAAAAAAAAGAAAAATCAAAGAAGCGGCTTTAATTATGCTAAATGAGGCCAATTGTGTCGCAAATTCCTCGGCAGAATGTAGTAGGATCTGGTTACCAATATTGAAAGAGGAAGTTATTAATAAGAAAATACCAGTATTACTAAGTCAGTAACATATAGCGGATACATCATTTATCTTTTTTAAATAACGAAACATATAAAATCAGAATTTTGGTGTTTATTGAAGGTAAACTAATTGCACGAACAAATACTTACCATGTCGGGATAGTATTATGAGCTTTTTTTCCTGGTTTTTCCCTCATAATTTACTATGGAATCACTAACAGGAGAATGTTACTGTCATCATGTCATGTGTTTATCTTTTTAAAGACGAATTATATGCTATGATTTTTTTCTGACGGATATTCTCAAGTTAAAAGTTGATTTCATGTAATCGAATGAACTATCTTATAAGTAAAGTCGTCCCAGGAGCGCAACTCAACAATATTGGCAATACCATTTTAAAGTCGTTTACTTTAAAATGCATAATGTATGTCTGAATTGTCAATATAAATGAGTCAGATAAAATTAAATTATTAGAAGAATTTTTCACTATGTGACAAAAAAAAAATTTGTTTAATTTACTGTTTGTATTTTGAGAACGATTGCCGAAGTGGAAATTGAAACGTCAATAAACGTATTTTTATCTTTAATTTGTGGCTTATTCGCAGTTAAATAGCAATTAATTTAAAATGCCACAAGAAAATAGCTTCAGAATAATAATAAAAATATACTACATATCATTATTTTTAACGACCCAGGTAGAATTTCAATTTTCATTTAAAAAAACATTAAATATTAAGATAGTCTTTAAATATGTTTACCAGGTCATCGAGAGAAATTTATATTGAACTGTTTCTGAATTTATAGGGAAATGAAAGAATGTGTTAAATTGTAATGAACTGTTCTTTAAGGTAAAAATAGTCCAAAGAACCACGCCTATATCTTTTCCGATTCTGAGCAACGCTCTCTCGTTTATTTTGTGTGCCTCAATAACTGCCCATCGTTTATTGTCTTATATTGTTTCTACATTCATATTAAAGTGTTCCATAATAATCGTTGTCCCGTGTTTCTTTGTAGTTTTCATAATATTATTTAGTTGAGCATATAATTTTTCTTCTTGATCATCTTCAGACTTGTCTGCTGTTGGCGCGTATACCTGAATCAGACTTATATATATGTTGTCGTCTCACCTTTAGCAACATGACTCTGTTGCATTAATATCGACTACCGATTTATGAAGAATCTCTACGCCGTAAAAAAAATGTTTCAAATGAACCGTTCTCTCAGAAACAACGCTTGAAGCGACTGTCGATTTTGAATGTCAGTCACGTGCGCAACATCAATGTTCAATAAAATTTGTATCAGCTAGACGGTAAAAATTCGATATCTTTTAAACAAAGTATCCTATCGACAAAAATCAAGATGAGTTTTAAAGGTAAAAAGTGCAGATTTCGTA